CCATCGGCCTCTCCACATAATTCACGTGCTTAACAACTTAAATGTCTTCTAACATAACCACTTCCACATCATCAACCATGAACTTACGATGCTTAGAAACATGGAAGGTGCTATGGATCTAATTAAGCTCCTCAGGTAGGTCTAACCTGTAGGCTATCTTGCCTACCCTTTCTATAATTCTAAAAGGTTCGAACAATCGAGGGACCAACTTGCATCACTTCGAGAAGCGTATGTGTGACATCCCTATTTTCACAGCCAGAAAAGACCGATTTTGTTTATACTTTATAAAAGTCAGAGTACCTCTTTTAATAAAAATGTTGTGGAATTTGATCCCAGTAAAACATGATAAATACGTTATCAAAGCATTTCCAAAGAAAAGTATTTTTAAAACATTTGGGATGTCATCGTCAATACAGAAACATAAGCATAAACAGAACTTACATTTATCATCACTAGTGATTTATATCTCCTTAATCTCTCAATGTAATGTGACTTCATATCAACACCTGTGATATAAATAAACTGAGTGGGTCAGGTTGGGAAACCTGGTGAGTACATAGGGTTTCTCAACCCACAATAAATAAGTTTATTAACTTTATCAAACCAACCAAACCCGATTACACGTTCCCGTTATCCTTACTTTACGTCCCTAAAACATCTAACAAAAGGGACCTAGTCTAAGGACTTTCATCACGGTGACAACACATGCTTCGGGGGTTACTCAACAATTATTGTCAAATAAAGCAACCATGTAGGGGATGGAGTACTGCTGGTGAGCACACAGTTCAAATAAACACCTACAGGTTGCAAGCCTGCTAGCATTCCACTGGATTGTCTATAATAGTCCATGGTTGTCATCTATACTCTGCTAGATGACTGTATCATCAATAACATCTATATCGGGGCTAGAGAGAAGTTATATAGAGAGAGAGGGAAGTGAGGGGAGGTGTGAGGAATGAAGACGGATTCACCTCTTATTTATAGGAGGCTGGAGGGGGTCACTCATGTCGTGAGTTTTAATGTGCTCATGTCGTGAGCCAGGCTGGTTACAGCCAGACACAACCTGGTGCTGACACGTGGCATCGCACATAGGGTGGAAATCAGCCGATTTTCAAAAATTCATAACTTTCGCATACGAACTCCATTTTCAACGTTCTTTATATAAATGCATAGGAAAAAACAATATATACAACTTTCATTTAGACTCCGTTGGATAATTCTCGACCGATCTTAAATTTAACAGTAGGAGGAGTTTAGGTTGTTGAATGACCGCGAAGAATTCGTAACTCCTTCACACGGACTCCATTTTCGTCTGTCTTTTTACCGTTGAGTTCATATTAATGAGATTCTAAACTCTCATTTAGGTCATATAGGCCAAAAACCGCTCGAACTAAAATTCGAGTTTTGGGTCGTACACCGCTAAGCTGAAACTTCCAAAAGTCATAACTTATTCATATGAAGTCGGATTTGGGCGTTCTTTTTATGGATGCTCTCAGGTTAACATATTCTACGACTTTCATTTAGATTACTAAGGCTAAAAGTATCTCAATCGTAAATTCACTATTTACGTCTTCCCGGTGTTGTGCTGGTTCCATCGTGAAACTTCGACGGGTCATAACTTCTTCGTTATAACTCGGATTTTGGCATTCTTTATATGTACGGAACCCTTTAGACATATTATAGATCTTGGTTAAGATTATTTATGATAAATAATCTTTTGTCAAAAATTCATTTTCGAACCCTATTATCTCTAAATTGACTAGCCCGGATCTACGAGTGTTACAATTATCTCCCCCTTAGGATGATTACGTCCTTGAATCATCAACGAAACAGGGCTCACATGATGACTCCATATGTTATCTATTCATCCTAAGTATTAACCATAACTTTGATGTTTCTTTGAATGAATATCTAACTCTAAGACAACCTGAGTGCAGGCGGTGCCCGATCTTGGACCTACTATCTATCTCATGTTAGACTTCCAATCATGATCTTCATGTCACGATCTTGATCTTTATTGGAGACTCCTTCTTTAACAAACTTGAGATAAGTTTCTTCCTTCGATTATCATAATACACCGATGGTTCATGTTTTAATGACCTCTCATCGTATGATACATTGCTTGGACTCAGGTCTTTTAGAGTCAAATTCCAGAATAGACTATACATTCCTTCATGTTCTAATCACATCTTAAAAGGTAGAATTTATAGCTACAAGCAACTTTTCGTGATACCTCTACTGATCGATTTTTATTTCAATCTTCCGTCTTAAGTCAGATGCTACATCGAACTTGATTCTCTAAACCACATAACATACTCAGTGTAGTCGGACTCAATTTGATATGACCACTAGGGTCGGAATAACAATCATCTTCTTAGTCATTACCGAAACGATGGTAATGACATACTTGAATAAAACATAATGAATTACTAGATTCTTGGTAACCTTGTAACTTTCTCTGATCCAAGCGTGAGTCCTGTGCTTCCGGTAGTATAGGCCTCTACTACCATTCACACCTACTCATACTCGTCCCAAGTATCGTCTCACAGTTTTCCAAGTCATTATCACATAAACAATTTTAACACATACAAATGTGTCCAAACAATCATATAATTTTCCCTAGACTCTACTAGGACTTCTTCCATTCGTATCTTCAATCACCAATTCCACTTCACTCGGTCGGTGATGAAACTGTCAGACGATGGGATAACTCCATGGATTATACCAAAATTCTTTATTTCTGCCAATTAAAAGTGTACTTCTCCCGTACCATACATATTACCTATTTAGATGCATTCTAAAGGCAAGATATCACTCTCACGATATCTTTTGATAGGTATGATTCACTATCGTAAGCCTTATCATTTCCTCCATTTACTAAATTCACTATGAGTCTTCACCATGATGTTCTTGCACACCAAAGCAGGCGTTCGGTGTATCGAGACGATAATATAGATAAAGGATGATTTAGATGCGCATTCCTCTTTATTACTCCGAAAAGTTACATGCCAGTTCTAACACTGTAATTAAACATTTAGAAATCTGAACACATAAAGTTTCCAGATCCGGTCGGCAACAGACCATAGATCTGATCAAACAATAGCATAAAGCATCACAAATCATTTAGCACATAAAATCATGTTAGGTATTTTCCCTAAATAAGCTAGTGATTGTGTCTATTCAGGTGTACTTCCTAAAATATATTAGACACACTCCTCACAATCATCGCTTAGCATTCTAAGTTTAAGTGTAGAAATAAATCCTTATTCCTAGTTCGGTTAAACTAATGCTCTGATACCAACTGTGACATCCCCATTTTCACGGCCAGAAAATATCGATTTTTTTATGCTTTATAAAAGTCACAGTATCTCTTTTAATAAAAATATTGCAGAATTTGTTCCTAGTAAAACATGATAAATACGTTATCAAAGCATTTCCAAAGAAAAGTATTTTTAAAACATTTGGGAAGTCATCGTCAATACAGAAACATAAGCACAAACAAAACTTACATTCATTATCACTAGTGATTTATATCTCCTTAATCTCTCAGTGTAATGTGACTTCATATCAATACCTGTGATATACATAAACTAAGTGGATTAGGTTGGGAAACCTGGTGAGTACATAGGGTTTTCAACCCACAATAAATAAGTTTATTAACTTTATCAAACAAAACAAACCCGATTACCCGTTACTGTTATCCTCACTTTACCTCCCTAAAACATGTAACACAAGGGACCTAGTTTAAGGACTTTCATCGGGGTGACAACACATGCTTCGGGGGTTCCTTATCAATTCATGTCAAATAAGGCAACCATGTGGGGGATGGAGCAGCGTTCCCGAGCCGAAAGGGAGTGAAAGAAAAAGGAGGGTCAGCAGTGTTCCCGAGCCGAAAGACTCTTCTTCTCGAAGACATCAGGCACTCTGGGGCTTCCGCCTCATGCTACGGAGGTTCCTTAGGCTTTTCGGGGGGGGGGGGGGGGGGTTCGAGGCTAATGAGAAGTTCTAGAGAGAGGGAAGTGAGAGGCGGTGTGAGGAATGAAGAGGGATTCACCTCTTATTTATAGGAGTCTGGAGGGGGTCACTCATGTCATTAGTTTTAATGTGCTCATGTCGTGAGCTAGGCTGGCTACAGCCTGGTGCTGACACGTGACATCGCACATAGGGTGGAAATTAGCCGATTTTCAAAAATTCATAACTTTCGCATACGAACTCCTTTTTCAACGTTCTTTATATCCACGTGTAGGTAAAAACAATATATACAACTTTCGTTTAGACTTTGTCAGCTAATTTTCGACTGATCTTAAATTTAACAGTAGGAGGAGTTTAGGCTGTTAAATGACCGCGAAGAATTCGTAACTCCTTCACACGGACTCTGTTTTCGTCTGTATTTTTACCGTTGAGTTATATTAATTAGATCTTCAACTCTCATTTAGTTCACATAGGCCAAAAACCGTTGGAACTAAACTTCGAGTTTCGGGTCGTACACCGCTAAGCTGAAACTTCGAAAATCATAACTTCCTCATACGAAGTCAGATTTGGGCGTTCTTTTTATGGATGCTCTCAAGTTAAAATATTCTATGAGTTTCATTTAGATTACTAAGCCTAAAATTCGCTCTACATAAAATCAGTATTTACGTCTTCCCAATGTCATGCTGGTTCCGTCGCGAAACTTCGATGGATCATAACTTCTTCGTTATAACTCGGATTTCGGTGTTCTTTATATGTACGAAACCCTTGAGACATATTATACAACTTGGTTAAGATTATTTATTCTAAATAATATTTTGTCAAAAATTCATTTTCGACCCTTATTATCTCTAAATTGACTAGCCCTGATCTACAGGCGTTATAGTATGACACCCTTCCAGGGTGCTACCTTCAGTAAAACCATTTCCCCAACCCGAAACTCCAACTAAGATTGCTACTTATCAGGGTAACTCTTCTGACAGCTCTATTTTATTTGTAACCCCTGCCTCATCTAGTGAATAAGGTCTGTCATCTGGAAACACCTCAGCCCTCCCCGTGAAACTTTCTGACTTCTCCCAAAAAATGGGATTACAACAGTTCCTCCCATAAAGAATCTCATATGAAGGCGCCCCAATGCTGGAATGATAATTATTGTTATAAGAAAACTCAGCTAGGGGGAGTTAAGAGTCCCAGATTGTTGGATTAGTTGTCTAAGCTCATAACTATAATTGGTATGTAGTTGACCCGATAATAGCATGGTCCATTTGGGTTGTAACACTCTGGAACAATTTGATAAGATTGATACTTGAATAATAGTTTATTATGGTTTATTAATATATTATAAGTATAATATATTAATTGAGGAATCACATTATTTAATTAGTATTGATCAAGAATTAGTTTGGTATTAATTTAGTGATCAAAAGAAACTAATTAAAGATACGTGGACTGATTAAGTAAATCACTAATACTTCTAGTTAGGGTCATGAATCATGTTGACTAGAGTTGGATTAAACCTATGTGAAAGTCCAAGAAGGTTTAGCCCCAAAAGACTAAGAAATATGAAGAGTCATAAGGGTTTGCATGGTTGTAATCCTAAGGTATAAAAGAAGTCCCTAACCCCTAAAAATCGGCACTCATGCATATTATAGTGGTGGCACTACTAGAAAAACAACCTTTTACGACGCTCATTGCGCGTCGTAAAAGGCTCAAACGACGCGCAAATGCGCGTCAAGGAAGGCCCTGTCATAAAGGGAAACGACGCGCTTTTGCACGTTATATCTATAGACGACGCGCATTTACGACGCTCATTTACGACGCGCAATTACGACGCACGTTTACGACACACAATGCGTATCAAGGAAGGCCCTATCATAAAGGAAGACGACTCGCATTCGCGTGTCGTAACCTTACGACGCTCGTGTTAATGACACGCAATGCGTATCAAGAAAGCCCCTGTCAAGAAAGGCCATGTCATAAATGAAGATGACACACATTTTTGCGTATCGTAAATTTAAATGTTTAAAAAAAAATTATATATTTATTGATTTTTAAGTTAGATTTGCATTTAATTTCTCATAATAGAAATAAAATACTTTTTTGATAGATTTACTAATTTTCAAATTAAATAACACATTAAAAGTCTCATAATACAAAATAAAATACCATAAACAATAAAGATAATTCATTGCACTAAGGACCATGTTAACAAAAGAATATAACATTATATACCATAAGTACCCTCAAGTAATCAATCTCTTACAATGTTACTAAAAATACCCTCAAGTAATCAATGTCTTACAAAGTTAAGAGACTAAGTTGGTATGTAATATGGCACTAAGAAACCCAAGAATTGTTTGTGTTTTTCCTGTTCCTGGTGGATCCTACATGGACAAAAGGTAAGAATTAACATTTTCAAAGTACAATGCCTCAATAAGGAAATCAATGGTAAAAGGCAAATCTGAATAAGAACAAACTTTATACATATATACATGGAAGTATTGTAATACACAATAACAGCAACAAATACCAAATTACCCTTTGCTTACCTTTTCTTATGGCCACCTCCAAAAGTGAGAATTTGATAAAAGATTTAGGTCACGCATTCTCTCATCAAGCTCTGTATCCAAAAGTGAGAATTTGATAAAAGATTTAAAAAGTGGGAAAATATCAAGAATATAGAGGATAAGTTCGCGTGTCTGGTCATCACAAGTTTCTAGAACCTTCTGGACAACGTAATTTCCAAAAGGATCATTCATCATTGCCTATAGTTTTGTTTTGCATTACAACAAACTCAGTTACCAAAAAGACAATGAATGTGTTTTTTAATTTTTACAAAAAAAAAAAGAGAGAGAGAGAGAGTTGCTGACCTGTAATGGCTCATTTTCATCAGTGGAACCAAGCATTTCGTTTACAAGAAGTTGGCGTTCATCTGGGCTTCCATAAGTTAAGCATTTCTCAACAACATTTGAAAAGACAGCATGATAATATGAGAAAAATATCATACCTTCCTTTTCATAGCACAAAAGTGGTCAGAAGTAGAAGGGGGAAGAATGTGATGAACATTTTCCGTTGTAATTGAAGCACACAGCCTCGATGACTCATTGATTGCCATCACCTTAAATAAATAAATAAAAATATGTAGAATAATATAGAAAAAATCTATATGCCACCTCCCCTGTATTCTTTTCCTAAATAATCACAAGGTTATTTTGAAGTAATTTTCAAACTATTCATAAGTTATCGTTACTTATTGTTTTATGAAACTTTATTTCAAACATTATTATTTGTAAACTTAGTAAAAAAGTTCTTTCTATATATTTATGTTTTTTGTGCATAATAAATAATAAAATGGTATACTTATATTATTGATCCAATAATTAACCTCTTTGATAAACTGATACTCGTTAAACTAGACCTCCACATATTGAATAAGCAAAATAATATGATCTAATATAAAAATAGAAATAAAATGATATTTCATAAGCAATTAGGTGATGATATAGTAAGAGTAAATATGTTGTTCAAGAGATCACGAGAAGTAGGGATAAATATAGAGGTATGGCTCTCAACTTCCATTAACAGAAGGGTAAAATGGTCATTTACTCACGTTCATATAATTTATTTACAGCGCAGGTCAATCAAGGGTACTGACGATATTTTTCAAAAAGTAGTAAAAGCCCTACCTGAATCTTGTTGTTTGCAAAAATTTCCTCAACAAAAGATCTATCTTTGTTGTTTAATCCTGCATGATGTAATCCAAAACCGAATTGTAGAGTGTGACTAAGATTCTGATCAGTGTCCTAAAAAACAATCATCTGTAAAGCCTCCTCGGGCATGGAAAGAAACTGCCTTGCAAAAGAAAATAAAATATAAATTTAATGAATAAAATAGTATCTACACGAGCTGTCATTTCTAAAAAATTACTTAAAATATGTGAATGAGTTCGAATGCAGTGAGCCTTGTCTGCCGACGAGATGAAACAAAAATTAAAACTGTTTTGTTGGTGAGTGTGTAAATATGGCAGCAGAGGTTGCCTTATTCATGCTATTCATTCTTAGACAGAAGAATTTCCTTGGGTACCCTTGTAAATTGAAATGATTAATTATTAATAATTGAAATTTTCTTCTGTATTTGAGACTTTTATACATTTGGAAAAGAAAGTTGACTTTCCTGTATACGAACTTCAAGAGGCACAGGTCATACACTTGGTTTGAAATTGTACAAACCAATCTCCTCAACTCCCAACCAGCCAGCCAGATTGAACTTGAAATTGTAATTAATGTACAAGAATGTTGACTGTTGAACTGCCTCCAGTTCTTGTCTCCATCTAAAAAGATTTGTTGATAGATTCGTCTCAAGCTCTGCTCTTCTTGTTTCAATCTACCAATCCATAAAAATAATCAGCACACACACACACACACACATATATATATATATATATATATATATATACACACATATATATTATTTTTTAAATAACTCCAAGTAAAACTATTAGCAAACCTCTACTCGGGTAGCCCTACTGGCTACAAGCCTTTCTTTAAGTTCTGCTATTTCAGGATTAAGTTAACCTAGGAGAACACGAGATTTTTATATCATTGAAGATATGATAACTTGAATCAAAGATGCTGAGAACCTGTATGATGTGGAAAAAAAAACAAATGTAGCACTTAGAAAAGGAATAAAGTGATAAATATGAATCAACGATTATACCTTCAATGCTCCTTCAGCATGGACAGATATTAACAACCTTCTCTCAGGTTTCTGCCAAAAGGAATATCATGAAAGAGATGTACACATTTTTGTATTAGTTAGAAAATTTACCTCAGAAGTTGAAGGTAAAAGACAAAAATGCCCTCATAATTTTAAGGAAATGAAACTTACCACCAGACACGAGCAGCACTGAAGATCCCCTTACCATCATAAACAACAACTCCATCTTTCTTTTCAATACCAAGAGCAGAAACAGCAGCAACAAATGCTTCTTCAGATGGCGACATGTGTGGCAGCTGAATTAAAGGTTCCATATTTTCAGTTTTACTTCAAAAGAAAACACAGAAAGGATTGAATGATAAGTGTCTCACATTAGTAGTGCGATCAGATATCCCATCTACATCAAAGAAAAGAGCACCAGGAATGTGTGCAACTTGTTAATACCCTGTTTGAATAATATCAGCAAGTGATCATACAATTGTTCGATAAAATGCCACATACAGAAGTTCAGAAAGCAAAAATATGCACTTGATACTCTTGAAGTGGATTTCTTTGTTCATCAGGCATGTACCAGGATGCATCCAGTACCTTCATATTAGGCTCACAAAGATTGGCATGAAGCCAGTCAAGAGTATATGTGGCGTTCCTCTGCTATGGAACCTTGAGGATACTGCTTTAAACAACTTAGACAGACTTAAAATCACATCTTGCTCAAGCTCAAGATGAAAGTCTGTGATTCTAAAACAAAGGAAATTGTTAGTAGTTCATAAACAATTAAGGGTATTCATTTACATGTTTATAAAGTAGTGGTAGTTGAGAGCTCATAACAGAAATTCCAATGAAGGGTATGGAAACTAATAATCTTTCTTTGTAAAGAACACAAATTTCTTGCTTTTGGTCATATTATCTTTTATCGATTAACCGTGGAGAACGTGAGATTTTTATATCATCAAATATATGATAACTGGAATCAATGATGCAGAGGACCTGTATGATAAGGAGCACTTAGAAAAAGAATAAATTGATAAATAGGAATGGTTGCATCTGAAATACAACAATTATACTTTCAATGCTCCTTCAGCATGGACAAATATTTGGTAGTTAAAACCATTTGATGGTGATTCACCAAACAAAAGTCTACAATTCAAGGTATATGAAACATTACTAGTCCCATCCTTACCCATCTTACCACCTCCATCTTTACACAGCCAAAAGATGAAAGAAATTATTGCCTACACTCACTCGAGCCTTTCATCGAACATCTCATGTGCACTTGATCAGTTCACCTTAAATTAAAATTGAAACTGATAGAAATCCCACCAACAAGTAGATAACATAATCTAGATCAATAAGGAAGATGTAAGTAAGGGAAAAAATAGTTTTGTTTCTCTTGTTAGTGTGTGTCTTAAGCTGTTGAGAAGCAAAAAGAAGAAGAAAAGTCAAATGATAATTACCTTCTATTTTGTTCAGAGAAGCTCTCTCTCTCTCTCTCTCCAAAGAATGTTCCCCAATTGTGGAAATTCAATTCGATTGTAGTATGTGTAATCACCATTTCTGTAGCAACTCATGCATCAATTCCAGCATTGACCATAAATTGACCAGAAAAAATACTCTACTAATAAGGCAAAAAGGGGTATTAATACTAACCAGCCCACCTCACTCGTCATCATCAAAACACCACAATTTACACCCATTTCTTTCATTCCAGATTCAACAGTAATGACAAACACCTGTATTCCTAGTGACAATACGGTTAGACAGAATTAGTGAATTGTTAATAGTGTTTAAAACAATTTTATAAAAAATGAGTTAATGACATAAGATTTGGCGATTCAGGTAACAAAATACATGATAAATGATTTAGCTATGGAAATTAGTTATATACCTTAAGTAATGACCATCAACACATGCAAGTATGACCATTTTCCATCATTATTAGCACCTTTACAACAAAAATCATACAAATCATCAAAGAACTGTTGTTCATGGATTCCAATAACATTCAACTACAAAACCCACATAAGATATGAGGATCTAAAAAAGCAATATGTCTCAATGATGTAAACGATTTTCAGGAACTACTAAAGAGGAGTGAAAATATGTAAATGCTTTACCAAAAACTTAAGTGTGGAGATAGGATCGTTGATACTTATCTTGGTGGTGGACTGTGGCACGGCCGACGACGTCATACAAATCAGTGACTCCTGTTGCTTTCTTCCAAGTGAGTCTCCAACGAACATCACCGCCCTCGACTTCGTTCACTGTCGCCGCCCTCAACTAAATAAGGTATCAAAGGCAAATAAGGTATCAAGGGATTCGACCAAAATAGGGTCGGGACGCAGTCTCCGAGACGGAGATGCTGATGAGTCGCAATCGCCGGTGAAGTGAGGCGAGCCTGATGAGGCCGCAGGCCGGTGAGATGAAGTGTTGCAGTCGTACTCTAGCTCGATCGTCTGGAGAATGTTGATGTGCAAAAAACCCTAGTTATCGTGTGGGAGGCTTTAGGGTTGTTTTGCGATGCTAAGGGTTTGGTTAGAGGTATCAGTAGAGGGAACAAGGGATACTGAGAGAGGATCGATCGAAAAGGGGTTTTAATTTTTTTGGTCAAAATGTTTCTTACCAATTAACAAACCCAAAAAGATTCTTAACAATTATATTGTCGGAAAGTAGGGTAGAAGGGAAGAGGAGAGGATGAGCAACACTATATCTCCGATTGTAAGCATGAGGATTCGCAGAACCCTAATTGCTAGCTCTACAACGTTCGTCTTTGGGAGCACATACAAAATCCCTAGTTGCTGGTCTCGATTTTGTGATCTTCAGGAATGAACGCGAGTTTTTAAGAAAAAAATTATAGAACAATTATATGAGTTGTTGAGGTTTATAACAGAGATGGTATTGTGATTAGGGTTTGCTGAGAGAAGAGAAGAAGAGAACGAAGGGAGATCTGAAGCGGGGTATTTAAAAATTTTAGAATTTTTAGAGGATCTCCTCAATAATACGCATTTTAATTAAAAAACATAAAGCAACATTCACAGAGGACGCACGTTTTAAATAAAGTGCCCTCCGTGTTTTTAAGTTTTTTTACATGAGACACTAATTTAATGGCACGTAGTAATGCATGACGTAAATCCTTCAATTTTTTGAAGAGATGACACTTTTTTAATGTCACTCTCTTTTGCGTAACATAAATCAATGAGCGTCGTGGTTTGCGCGTCGTAAAAGGCTATTTTTCTAGTAGTGTGGCTAGCCGATTTTGATATCCCAACCTCTTTCTCAAGTCTATTATCTTGTTCTTGGTTTGTTATAAGATAGTTGAGGCATCACACTTAAGGTGCTAGGATCCTAAAGGTCAAAGACAAGCAAGCCACTACACAAGGTAATCTTCTAACTGTTTTTTATTATTCAAATGTTGCCTTGCATGCTAGTTTAGGCTTTATGCTTTGGAAAAACAATGTTGCATGTATAATTAGAGAAAACTTAGATTGAAAGCATTAGGGTTGTATGTGCACCATAGGAATGTTAGAGTACATAAATCCTATAAGTGGTATTAGAGAGAATAGGGTGTTTTCTATTATATTGATGCAAATGTGTAATTTTCAAAGTTGGAAAAATGAATTTTTTTGGCCACTATCTAAAGGAATCGATGAGTCCATATATGGACTTGATGAATTGGATGAGTTTTGCCATGAAATCAACGTGTCCAAAGCCCGGCTCAGCGAGTTGACTCATCTGGTGGCATATTTTTCGAGTTTTTGGCCTATTTTGGATTAGGATCATTACCACAAACTGTTTTGGCTGATAAAATTTGATTTTACTAATATGGTAATATTTATCCTCACCTAAAACATGAAGTTTGTCACATTTTAAGATAATTACTTGATTTTGTGAAAAAACTAGTTATTTGTAAAATTTGAAGTTATCATATGGTATTGATGAGTTGAAAACTCTTAGATCGATTAGATCTTCAAAAGTTTAAACAATAAGTCAAACACATAAATACTAAGAACATAGGACAAAATAAAAATATAGCTTAATGATTCAAGAATAGTCACGCCTTAGCAGAGCTCGATGAAGAACTTCCACTATAGAGGCGTACTAGGGTTTGTAGTAAAATACTCAAAATAATAAATGAAAACAATAATCATAAAGGATGCATGCATGCACCTTTAAGTACTAAAACCCTAAAAGAAATAAACATCGATGCACATGCCCAATCCAGAACTCAAAATAAACACAAAAGATAACCCCAATAACGCAACACACACGAACCCAACAATCCCCCCCCCTTTGCGTTAATTGAGGTGAGAAGTTAGTTCGCTTTTTTAACAAAAGACTTCTTGACTGTCTTGAACACCTTCGGTACAATAGCCTCAAGAGTTTATTGGAAAGTGATATACCACCGAAGCATGTCTGTGAATTACTTCTTGTCAGCATCGCTATTCTGCTTACACTTGTTCACTAGATCAATGATATATTCCAACAGGATGTGGAAAACAAAGGTTTATCATCGAGGGAAAACACGAACTTTTCTCCTTCTTTTCTTGTGAACATCACTATTCGGTACTTCGAATCAATCACTCCCAACTTCATTCTATTTGGATCTTGAGCTTTCCCAATCGGTTTGATAGTTGGTCTTTTTCGCAAAACATATGAGACTTCTTGATCCATCAAGGCAACTTCATGAATATAACAAGCGATCATTCGCTTGATATGATCAATAATCGACTCATACTATTCCTGACTGGTAAGCAGGATGTTGTTCAACAAGATCCAATCATGTCGATTCAGATTTGGCAGATCAGCTAAAGAAATGAAATGAACCGAACTCTCTGATCCTCTTGTCACTTTGAACTTCATGTTGATGAATTTACCAGCAGAATTGGGCTTCATAACCTTCACAGTTGTAATCTTTTGAGCACTCCAGGATAGATGCTGAGGCTGAGCAAATTCCATGTAATAATCAACCAAATCCCTGTCTGTTTTCGGATGTGGTGAGGGAATAGCGATTGTTGGAACAAAACAGTGAAAAACAAAAGCTTTCCTTGTGATGGACATATCAAATTGGGATTCTTTAGAATTCTGACTGTCAAATGAAATGAGTGGTTCAAGCCAATACGTGCTTGGAGAATCTATAGCTTCTTTTATCATCCGCTCCAACGTCCATAAAGGAAAAAGTACTTTGCGACTTTCCAATAGGTCATGAGCCTCCTTTTGCTTTCAGTACCTTTATTCAGCTTCTTTAGCAATACGAGAGTTTTCATCCAGCTCTCTGTCTCGATTTCTTTTGTTGAGAGTAGCTTCATCATTCTCTTCTTCTTCTTCTTCTTCTTCTTCCATGATCCCTTTACCTTTTTCATTTTTACCAGAACCCGAAGCTTAATTTCCCTTCGGTTCTTTTGATTTCAGTGATTGCTGATGAGATTGTTTATGTTGCTCTTCATTTTTATCTCCCCGTTGTTGCGGATTAGCAACCGACTACGGAACACCCATGACTTGGCTCAACAAAGCAAGATCGGGATGCATTTTTTAGTAAGATGCCGCCGCATAGTGATTGTAAGGACCGAATCATGAGCATACAAAATATTGGAAATAAGATCGTGGACATCAAAAAACTACTTTTCATAATAGTTCGCTCAAACTTAAGCTCATCAATATCCCTTCACTGTTGTTGTAGGAGAACTCAACCAAAGAGAAATGGGTGTCCCACGACTTGCCGAAGTTTATGCCACATGCTCTCAGCATGTCTTCCAATGTCTGAATGGTCCTCTCACTCTGCCCATCTGTCTAAGGATGGTATGATGTGCTCATATACAACTTAGTTCCGGGAGCTTTCTGCAGTGACTGCCAAAATCTCGAGGTAAACCTGCTATCTTGATCGGAGATAATGGACACCGGTACGTCATGCAGTTGAACTATCTCTTGAATGTAAATTCGCGTTAGTCTTTCCATTTTGAAAGTTTCCTTGATTGGCAGGAACAGGGCGGATTTGGTTAATCGATCAACAATTACCCATATGGTATCATACCCGCTCGGAGATTTGGGTAATTTAGTGATAAAATCCATAATAATCCTTTCCCACTTCAACTTAGGTATCTCCGACTGCTGAAGCATACCTGAGGGCTTTTGATATTCGACCTTAACCTTGGCTCAAGTCAAACACTTGCCCATGAAGGTAGCGATCTCATATTTCATGTTTGGCCACCAATACAACTTCTTGAGATCTAGGTACATCTTATCTGAACCTGGATGAACCAATTATCTGGCTTCGTGTGTTTTCAGCTGCCTTGAGGCATAGGCGATAACTTTTCCTCGCTACATGAGCACACAACCTAGGTCCTGATTGGATGCATCACAGTAGACAACGAAGTCCTCCGTCCCTTCGGTCAAAGACAAGATAGGTGCGTTGTACAGGGCCTGTTTCAATGTTCATAACGCAATGTCTTTCATTTCACTCCAACTAAAGGGCACACTCTTCTGAGTTAGGGTGGTTAGAGGCTTAGCAATTCTGGAGAAATTCTGGATAAACCTGCGATAGTAGCCAACGAAGCCCAAGAATTGACGGATTTCTATGGGCGTCTTTGATGCCGACCAATTCTCTATTACTTTGATCTTAGAAGGGTCCACATGTATGCCTTCCTCACTTACCACGTGGCCAAGGAAAGTTACTTTTCTGATCCAGAATTCGCACTTAGAGAATTTCATGTACTGCTTCTCCGCCCTTGGAGTTTCTAGTACTAGCCTCAAGTGCTTGCTATGATCTGCCATGCTTCGGGAATAGACAAGTATATCATTAATGAATACGATTACGAAATTTTCCAGGAAAGGACGGCACACTCGATTTATCAAATCCATGAATATTGTCGCTACGTTGGTTAGGCCAAAGGGCATTACTACAAACTCGTAGTGACCATATCGATTCCGAAGTGTTGCTTTGCGAACATCACCTTCATTGACTCGTAACTGATGGTACCCTTATCATAGGTCTATTTTCGAGTAGTAGATGGCTCCTTGTAGTTGATCGAAGAGTTCATCGATCCAGGGAAGTGGATAATGGTTTTTGACGGTGAGCTTGTTCAATTCCTGATAATCGATACACATCCAAAAAGATCCATCCTTCATTTTCACAAATACGATCGGGGTTCCCCAGGGTGAGGAACTTGGTCTGATTAATCCCTTGTTGATTAGCTTATTGATCTGGCTTGATAACTCTTGCATTTCTGCTGGCACTAGGCGGTAAGGG